GCTCAGCGCGTTCTTTTACGACGCGTGCGTGGCGGCCAAGCTCGACGTGGGCACCAACGTCCGTGGCGCGTGCGTGGTCGTCGTGTACATTGGCGGGACGGTCGAAACCGTGCGTCTCTCGATGCGGCTGAGCGACGAAGAGAAGATCAACGTCAAGCCGATCGTGCACCCGGCCGTCGAGGAGGGCAAGTGCCGGCTGCGCTTCTTCATCTCGTACTTGCACACGGAAGCCGACCTCAGTCGCACGGTCGAATCGCTTGTCCGCATCATGGGCAGTTTGCGCAGCCCGGATGCGATCGTCGAGGCGACCACCAAGGTGCCTACGCCTGATGTCGAGGCTGTTGTGCCCGTGGTCGAGGCTGCTGTGCCCGTGGTCGAGGCTGTTGTGCCCGTGGTCGAACCTGTCGTCGACAACCAGACAGACGCAAACGCTCCGGTGGAAGAACCGCAGCATGAAGACTCTACGGCCTCGATCGAAAAGGTGGCCGAAGTCACGGTGGCTGTCGTCGAGGCAGCGCCCGTGGAGCTCGAGGTACAAACCAAGACGGAGGTGCCGGCCCCTGCTGATGCCGTCTCATCCGCACCTTTGCTCGTCGATGAAGCTCCCAAGACTTTCGCCGCCGAAGTGCCCGAGACCGTTGGAACCGAAGCGCCCACGACCGTAGTCGAAGTGGAAGCGGCATCAGACGCAGAGCCCAAGCCCAAGGCCAAGAAGGCAACGAAAAAGAAGACGGCCAAGAAGACGAACGCAAATTGAGCTGCGAAACACCGTTGCCAAGTGCACAAATCAAATATTGTTTTTGGATAGTCGTCAGTGTTGACGGACAAGTATCCCGTGGCGATGGATAAGAAAAATCCCTCAACTATCCAATCGAGGCAAACGTCCAATGTGGCTACTACGAGTGCTGTGTCTGCTACTGCCGTGCGTCGGCGAGTGCCATGCACTTGAGCAGCACCGTACTGGTGCTAGGTGGACGGGCGTCTGAAGGAGTTCTAAGCCAAAGCACCTTCAAGGTGTCGGTAAAAACCTCTGAAACATTGTATCGTGTATCGATTGTGAGAGGTATTTTTGTTGACGTAACAGGTCGCGAGGCCGGCCGCTACAACCAGGTAGAGATATGCTGCTGTCGCCGTTCCAGCCAAAGCGGTCGCTGACGTCCGTCGTCAAGATGCGCCAGTCGCTCGAGTCGGACTTCTCGTCCGCCGTCCTCTTCCTCCAGACGTACCAAGGTACAGCAGCAGCGGCTACGACTAGCCATCATCGGCGTGTAGGGCCGCATGGCATTCTCAAGAACGCCGCGTCGCCCGTTCGCATCGCCTTGGACGCGCACTTCCAGCAAGCGACGATCGGCGCGTGCACCACCGAGGCGCCGACCAACACGCTGGAGCTGGCGGCTTGGTAACGAATCGACTATGCATCGATGCTCCAGCTGATGATACTGAGCTGGCAGGGAAAAGTGGCAGGCGCTCGGCGACCTTAGCAAAGAGCAGGCCATGCAGCAGTACATCAAGACGCTCGACGACCTCGTACTACTATGTGTTGTTGGCATCGATGATGTTGGCTGACAGACGCGTACAGGTCGACAATTGGCGCCGGAGCCCGAGCTTGCGCCGCGCGACGTCCGAAGTTGCGCCCGAGACGCCGCCACCGCTCATGGATCGCCTCCCAGCCTTTGCGCAGGAGCTCGATGCGATCAAGACCAAGCTCCAGACACAGGCGGCCGACCACGAGGCGCTGACGGACGCTGTCAATACGCTCACGCACGACACGGTGCGCAGCGTGATGGCCTGCAAGGTGCTAAGGCAATCTAGAACGCCCATTTCTCCCGCGAACTGCGGCAGCTGGACCTTGTCCGGACGCACACGACCGAGGCGCTCAAGGCGAACGAAGCCCAAGTGCACGAACACAAGGTAGTACAGCCCAGAACGCATACTAGGACGCAACCTCATGCTCTGTAGCTGGAGCTCGCGCTGCTGCGTGAAAAGCACTACCAGCTCCAAGCCATTGTCGAGCGTTCCTTGGTCTTTCGCGCCGAAGAACTTGGTACGCGCGCACCTCGTGTCGCTTGACCAAGTTCACGGCGTGTGTCTAGTCCTGCAAACGTGGACGAGCGCAACGCAGTGGCTGCAGCTGCGCTACGTGCGTATGCTCCTCGCGTCGCTCTTCTTGACATGTACGACCGCGCCCGACTTGAGATGCTCGACGAATGTTGTATCCACTTGATAGTTGTGTGGCGCAAGCTGCTGCACCGTCGCCTCCCGCGCTTCATCGCTGATACGCTCATCGCCATCATCTCCAACCTGTCGGGCAAGGACGGCGAGTAGTACATACCGCGACACCTCTCGCCAAGCAAGCAGATCGTCCTGCGATAACAGAAGTACATACCTTGTACCTTTCAGCTCTGATCGTTTCCCATCAATCAGCCTCTGCGCCGTCCCAGTCGTCTTCCATCAGATCGGCAGCCTCCTACGATTAGTGCATGGCAGCAAGGGTACATCAATTCAATTGATTTATGTACCCTTGATGACAGCAGCCTGGGGACAGCACATCGTCGACCTTGCCGTTGGCATCCACGAACGACGACGCCAAAAAAAGAACACGGGTTCTATTTTTATACCTCTACGAATTTATATACTGGAATATCAAAGTATAGAGGTTCCAAGTTGAAGTGATGGCCACGATCGCGCGTCCAGTCGTCGAGCCACCTGCGAGATACTACTGCACTCGACGCCGCTGCGGGTCTGAGAAGCGCGCGCCATCCACACTGCCTCTGGCGCGCTTCTTATCTAGCATAAGAAGGCTACCATCTAAAGGCAGCGCCAGCAAAAAGTTCTGGAAGATGCTTCCATGATGGGACCAGCGCAGGGATGTTGAAGTCGTGGTCGTTGCATGGGCGCGCGCCCTCTTCTTTCATTTCGCTTGTTCGAAGACGCGAGCAAGCGCGTAGCTAGAAGAGGCTTTGGCGAGCCCCTCTTTAGTTAGTCGCGGCGCTAACGTTAGTCGGTGGATGCAACCGTTACAACAGCCGAAACCTCCATGTTTCTTTTTCTCGATTAAAAGACACTTTAAAAACATGGATTGTTTCTTCAATCCAAATAATATTCGTATTTTATTCATGTGGATACAAAAGAAAGTATAATGGCCAGACGTGCGCATAAAATAGCGTGTGGTTGAACCGTGGATCGTTTCGAAATTTCCTCCATGTTGCGGCGGATCGCCATTTGCGAATATTCCGCCAACGCCATGGGCAACAGCAACAGCGCGTCGCCGACGATCGCCGCCGAGGAGCGCAGCTTGTCGCCGGCGCCGAGCCCGCGCGCGCCGTCCTTCCGCCTCCTGAGCGCCGACCAGCGCGCCGTGACCTTTGACGAGCGCATCCACCTGCCGCGGAAGAGCATCCAGCTGCCGCACCACCCGCACCCGCACGCCGACTTTACAAAGCTCAGCCGCGCCGCGACCTTTGACCCGCGCATGCGCCAGAACCAAGATGCGGTCCGCGACGTCCTGCACAAGCGCTACTTCAATGCCAAGGAAGAGCGCGATGCGAAGAGCCTCGGCCTGTCTGCGATTCCAGAGCTCGACGGTGGCAGCCAGGCGATTGTCGTCGTGGACCCTTTCTCGACGGGCATGGTGCTCGCGGAAGAGGTCATGAAGCGTGAGTACACGTGCATTGCGCTCTACAGTGACACGCTCGTCGTCATGAAGCCGCTCATCCAGCACATTCGCGACGACGTGCGGCAGCAATTCACGACTGAAATCTACCACAA